CCAAGCTTGGCACGAATACTCAATTTGCCCAAACGTGAACACTGGTGGTGTTTGGGGGAAATAGACCTTGACATTTGGGAGTTGTAGTTGCTGGGATTTATAGTTCACTTACAATCAAAGAGCATTCTGAACCCCACCAACGATGGAATTGAACCAAACTTGACACACAGAACTCCCATGGCCAACAGAGAATACTGGAAGGATTTGGTGGGCATTGACCTTGAGTTTTGGAGTTGTAGTTCACCTACAACTAGTGAGCATGGTGGATTCAAACAATGATAGATCTGGACCACGCTTGGCACAAATACTCAATTTGCCCAAATGTGAACACAGATGGAGTTTGGGGGAAATAGGCCTTGACATTTGAGAGTTGTAGTTGCTGGGATTTATAGTTCACTTACAATCAAAGAGCATTCTGAACCCCACCAACAATGGAATTCAGCCAAACTTCCCACAAAGAACCTTCATGACAAACAGAAAATAATGGCGACCCCTCTGACACCCCCTCACGACCCCCCCCCCCGGGTTCCCAACCCCCAGGTTGAGAAACACTGCACTAATGGCCTCCCTCCAATGACATTTCAGGTTATAGCGACCGCCATGAACATGTCCAAAAGCCCTTCCATTGTCCTCCACAAACATCATACTGCTTAAGTGGCTGACGGGGAAATGGAAGGGGCCTGAGGCTGCTAGGAATTGTGGGAGTTGGAGTCCGAAACATCTGGAGGGCCCAAGTTTTCCCATGCCTGTGCTATCTGAAGGATTCTCAGAGCTGTAGTGCTAAGGAGTCTTTTCAAACTGTGAGTAAAAGGAACATGTGGGACATGCTCTCTGCTTACAATCGACTTTATGCAAATGCTTAAAACACACAGAATGAGAAACACACAGAGAAAAGAATAAGGTGGGGGAGAATTGACGAGACACTTATCCTGGGGGTACGAAGATTACAGGCATCAAAAGACATGCACAATCTGGAAGGGGTGGAGAAAGCTCTGCAGTCATGTTCGGATTTTCTTCCATAGACTAACAACCATAGAATTGTAGAAATGTTCACATTTCATAGAGGATGAAAGATAATCCAAGGACCATCTAGTCCAAATCCATTTCACCAGCATGCAGGAATACATAATCCAAGCCCTCCCAACAGATGGCCATCCAAACTCTGCTTGAAATACTCCAGAAAAGGAGACTCCACCATGCTCTGAGGCAGCATATTCCACTGCCCTGGGCGGCATGGAGGAGTTTTCTTTTCTGAAAAATTTCAAGCAGAGCCTGGATGGCCATCTGTCAGGGGGACTCCATGGCAGCATAAAGTTCGCTCAGGAGCTTCCGAAAACAAACAGGATACAAAACTACCCTGAAATACAGCAGAGCATCCGAAAACAAACAGGATACAAAACTACCCTGAAATACAGCAGAGCATCCGAAAACAAACAGGATACAAAACTACCCTGAAATACAGCAGAGCATCCGAAAACAAACAGGATACAAAACTACCCTGAAATACAGCAGAGCATCCGAAAACAAACAGGATACAAAACTACCCTGAAATACAGCAGAGCATCCGAAAACAAACAGGATACAAAACTACCCTGAAATACAGCAGAGCATCCGAAAACAAACAGGATACAAAACTACCCTGAAATACAGCAGAGCATCCGAAAACAAACAGGATACAAAACTACCCTGAAATACAGCAGAGCATCCGAAAACAAGCAGGATACAAAACTACCCTGAAATACAGCAGAGCATCCGAAAACAAGCAGGATACAAAACTACCCTGAAATACAGCAGAGCATCCGAAAACAAACAGGATACAAAACTACCCTGAAATACAGCAGAGCATCCGAAAACAAACAGGATACAAAACTACCCTGAAATACAGCAGAGCATCCGAAAACAAACAGGATACAAAACTACCCTGAAATACAGCAGAGCATCCGAAAACAAACAGGATACAAAACTACCCTGAAATACAGCAGAGCATCCGAAAACAAACAGGATACAAAACTACCCTGAAATACAGCAGAGCATCCGAAAACAAACAGGATACAAAACTACCCTGAAATACAGCAGAGCATCCGAAAACAAACAGGATACAAAACTACCCTGAAATACAGCAGAGCATCCGAAAACAAGCAGGATACAAAACTACCCTGAAATACAGCAGAGCATCCGAAAACAAGCAGGATACAAAACTACCCTGAAATACAGCAGAGCATCCGAAAACAAGCAGGATACAAAACTACCCTGAAATACAGCAGAGCATCCGAAAACAAACAGGATACAAAACTACCCTGAAATACAGCAGAGCATCCGAAAACAAACAGGATACAAAACTACCCTGAAATACAGCAGAGCATCCGAAAACAAACAGGATACAAAACTACCCTGAAATACAGCAGAGCATCCAAAAACAAGCAGGATACAAAACTACCCTGAAATACAGCAGAGCATCCAAAAACAAGCAGGATACAAAACTACCCTGAAATACAGCAGAGCATCCGAAAACAAACAGGATACAAAACTACCCTGAAATACAGCAGAGCATCCAAAAACAAGCAGGATACAAAACTACCCTGAAATACAGCAGAGCATCCAAAAACAAGCAGGATACAAAACTACCCTGAAATACAGCAGAGCATCCGAAAACAAACAGGATACAAAACTACCCTGAAATACAGCAGAGCATCCAAAAACAAGCAGGATACAAAACTACCCTGAAATACAGCAGAGCATCCGAAAACAAACAGGATACAAAACTACCCTGAAATACAGCAGAGCATCCGAAAACAAACAGGATACAAAACTACCCTGAAATACAGCAGAGCATCCGAAAACAAACAGGATACAAAACTACCCTGAAATACAGCAGAGCATCCGAAAACAAACAGGATACAAAACTACCCTGAAATACAGCAGAGCATCCCAAAACAAACAGGATACAAAACTACCCTGAAATACAGCAGAGCATCCCAAAACAAACAGGATACAAAACTACCCTGAAATACAGCAGAGCATCCAAAAATCAAACAGGATACAAAAGTTGAGCATCAGCTCAATAGCATGCAGAGCAGAAGCGTGCTGGACCCATAACCCTGATCAAAGGGGTCTCTGGTCAAACCGGTCCCTGGTCAAAGTGGTCCCTGGTCAAGTGGTCCCTGGTAGTGGGTCAAAGTGGTCCCTGGTCAAGTGGTCCCTGGTCAGGTGGTCCCTGGTAAGGTCCCTGGTCAAAGAGGTCCCTGGTCAAAGTGGTCCCTGGTCAAGTGGTCCCTGGTCAAAGGGCCTAGGTCAATAGGGTCCCTGGTCAAGTGGTCCCTGTTCAAAGGGGTCCCTGGTCTAGTGGAACCTGGTCAAAGTAGTCCCTGGTCAAAGTGGTCTCTGGTCAAAGTGGTCCCTGGTCAAGTGGTCCCTGTTCAAAGGGGTCCCTGGTCTAGTGGAACCTGGTCAAAGCTGTCCCTGGTCAAAGTGGCCCCTGGTCAAATGGGTCCCTGGTCTAGTTGACCCTGGTCAAAGGGGTCCCTGGTCTAGTGGAACCTGGTCAAAGGGGTCGCTGGTCTAATGAAACCTGGTCAAAGCTGTCCCTGGTCAAAGTGGTCCCTGGTCAAAGGGGTCCTTGGTCTAGTGAAACCTGGTCAAAGCTGTCCCTGGTCAAAGTGGTCCCTGGTCAAAGGAGTCCCTGGTCAAAGGAGTCCCTGGTCAAAGTAGTCCCTGGTCAAAGGGGACCCTGGTCAAAAAGGTCCCTGGTCAAAGGGGTCCTTGGTCAAAGGGGTTCCTGGTCAAAGTAGTCCCTGGTCAAAGTGGTCCCTGGTCAAAGGGGTCCTTGATCTAAAGTGGTCCCTGGTCAAAGGGGTCCCTGGTCAAAGGAGTCCCTGGTCAAAGTAGTCCCTGGTCAAAGGGGACCCTGGTCAAAAAGGTCCCTGGTCAAAGGGGTCCTTGGTCAAAGGGGTTCCTGGTCAAAGAGGTCCCTGGTCAAAGGGGTCCTTGGTCAAAAGGGTTCCTGGTCAAAGTAGTCCCTGGTCAAAGTGGTCCCTGGTCAAAGGGGTCCCTGGTCAAAGGAGTCCCTGGTCAAAGTAGTCCCTGGTCAAAGGGGACCCTGGTCAAAAAGGTCCCTGGTCAAAGGGGTCCTTGGTCAAAGGGGTTCCTGGCCAAAGTAGTCCCTGGTCAAAGTGGTCCCTGGTCAAAGGGGTCCTTGGTCTAGTGAAACCTGGTCAAAGGGGAACCTGGTCAAAAAGGTCCCTGGTCAAAGGGGTCCTTGGTCAAAGGGGTTCCTGGCCAAAGTAGTCCCTGGTCAAAGTGGTCCCTGGTCAAAGGGGTCCCTGGTCAAAGGAGTCCCTGGTCAAAGTAGTCCCTGGTCAAAGGGGACCCTGGTCAAAAAGGTCCCTGGTCAAAGGGGTCCTTGGTCAAAGGGGTTCCTGGCCAAAGTAGTCCCTGGTCAAAGTGGTCCCTGGTCAAAGGGGTCCTTGGTCTAGTGAAACCTGGTCAAAGCTGTCCCTGGTCAAAGTAGTCCCTGGTCAAAGGGGACCCTGGTCAAAAAGGTCCCTGGTCAAAGGGGTCCTTGGTCAAAGGGGTTCCTGGTCAAAGTGGTCCCTGGTCAAAGGGGTCCTAGAACAATGGGGTCCCTGCTCAAAGTAGTCCCTGGTCAAAGGGGTCCTAGGACAATGGGGTCCCTGCTCAAAGGGGTCCCTGGTCAAAGTAGTCCCTGGTCAAAGGGGTCCTAGGACAATGGGGTCCCTGCTCAAAGGGGTCCCTGCTCAAAGGGGTCCCTGGTCTAGTGGTCCCTGGTCAAAAAAAAGGTTGGGAACCACTGATCTAACTAAGCTAACTAAACTGTTCCTCATTGAGGACTTGGGACTTGGGCAATGTGTGGCTGAATTCCAGCACTTTTTAATGTTTATGCAGAATTTCTCCTCCTGCAATTTGAATCCATTACGATAACAACAACATACAGTTCCCCTGAGTGGTTCACAGAGCTCAGTCCCAGCAGCAGAGCGTCTTACCTTCACTGCAAAACTTCCCCTGGAAACCGGTAAGGCTGCAATCACATTGCACCTCGCTGTTGATGACGGTGCAGATCCCACCATTGACGCAGGGATTCTGCTTGCTGCACAGGTACTCCATGTCGCTGCGGATGCCCTGGCTGCCCAGGAGTGCCGGGGGCATGTCCGCCACTTTCAGGTTGGCCACAATGCCACGGAAAGGCATCTCGTACTTGACGGTGCTGAGCGTGAGAGCCGAGAGGCGGACGTCGGGCGGGATGCCGCCCACGAAGAGGTCGCTTTCCACCGTCATGTCACGCCGCTTGGACTTCACCTCGGCGACGCGGGCTTCGCCGTCCACCACTAACATGGTCTCCCGGTAGTTGCGTGTCAAGAGGAGCATGTGCCAGCGGTCGTCGTTGACGGGCGTCTCCAGGTGCAAGCTAGCCGGCTCTGCGCAGGAGATGGTGAAGCGCAGGCGGAAGCGCCCCTCCAGAATCAGCAGCTCCAAGAAGTCGCAGTTCCCGCCGTCATCCAGGTAGAGCACCAGCGCCCGGGAGACGTTGGTCTTCAGGCTGAAGCTCAGCTCCCCCAAGGAACTGGCGTCCCACCGCGCATAGCGTGCCCACTGCCCTGTCGTGCCGCTAAACTCCAACGCCGCGCCGCCCGCTCCTGGGCTCAGCATCGCGGCCACCACCAGCGCCAAGGGCACCAGCAAACGCACCGGCTTCGCCATGGCAAGCCCCCTCCTACACTCTTCCCTGGAGGCCAGCAATGCCTCCCTCCCTCCGTTGACTTTCAAATCCACATGAGACAAAAGAGTAGCGTTGTGGAGACGGAAGGTTTGGTATGTCTCTCAAATGGCGAGGAACCCACAGAGACCGCTGGACATGGGGAGGGGGCTCTCTCAAGCAGAATAGTCCCAAGATCTGTGGACCTCAAGGTGAGAAGGTCCTTCCACCTCCCCTGTTCCCCCTCCCCAAGAGCCCGGGACGGCTCTTCTACAGCATCTCCATCCACCAAAGAGTGGGCCAAGCCGAGCAATGCCGAATGTCTCTCCAAGTGACTCCCAGATGTTCACCGGCCTCAATAATCCTCCAAGGACCATATATTTCTCTTGATGCTCGGAGCAGCCTGCCTTCGTCCCTTCCTCAGCTACTCCGGATTCAAGTTCAGTCTGGACTGTACATCATAGAAGGCTCAGGCCTGGAAGAAGAGAAGGTAAAGGAAAGAGAATGAGGAGCAGGAGACAAAAAAGAGGAGAAACTATATATATATATATATATATATATATATATATATATATATATATATTAGGCCTGGGTAACAACTGAAAAATTTGTTTCTAAAATCGATTCGTTTTTTTTGGGGTTTTTTGCGTTTCGATATTTAAAAGAATTCCGAAATTTTCCTTAAAAAAAGTTCGATATTTACGAAATTTCGTAAATGGTAAAAAAATTACAAAACAATAACGAAACAATAACGAATCGATTCGTTAATGGTGGCCGCGATCGCGCAATACGCTAAAAAAACTTCTGAAGCTTCCCTCTCCCTCTGTTGTTGACTGTTGGTGTGATATTATAATTTTTTTTTCACTAATTAAACAAAAAACAACAATAAAACTTGCCCCAGACATGCGGAAATAATAACGAAACGACCTCAAACCAATAACGAAACGAATACATAACGAAATACGAAGCATTTACGAAACGAATTGAAAAATTCGTTTCGTTTTTAAGTTGCTCCAGAATGGTTCGTTATCGCTTCGTTAACAAAAAATAACGAATTTTTAACGAATTACGAATTAACGAAACGAAACCACCCAGCCCTAATATATATATATATATATATATATATACACATATATACACACACACACACACATATACATATATATATATATATACACAGACACACACACACACTAGCTATCCCCTGCCATGCGTTCAACTCCCACAATTCCTAAACACCTCAGGCCCCTTCCTTTTCACCCTGTAGTCCAGTGTTTCTCAACCTGGGGGTTGGGACCCCTAGGGGAGTCGTGAGGGGGTGTCAGAGGGGTCGCAAAGACCATCATAAAACGCAGTATTTTCTGTTAGTCATGAGGATTTCGTGTGGGAAGTTTGGCCCAATTCTATCATTGGTGGGGTTCAGAATGCTCTGTGATTGTAGGTGAACTATAAATCCCAGCAACTACAACTCCCAAATGTCAAGATTCTATTTCCCCCAAACTCCACCAGTGTTCACATTTAGGCAAATTGAGTATTTGTGCCAAGTCATTAAGTCCACAGTGCTCTGTAGAGGTAGGTGAACTACAACTCCAAAACTCAAGGTCAATGCCTACCAAACCCTTCCAGTATTTTCTGTTGGTCATGGGAGTTCTGTGTGACAAGTTTGGTTCAAGATTCTATTTCCCCCAAACTCACCCAGTGTTCACATTTGGGCATATTGAGTATTCGTGTAGAGTTTGGTCCAGATCCATCATTGTTTGAGTCAACAGTGATCTCTGGATGTAGGTGAACTACAACTCCAAAACCAAAGGACACGGCCCACCAAACCCTTCCAGTATTTTCTGTTGGTCATGGGGGAACTGTGTGCCAAGTTTGGTTCAATTCCATTTTTGGTGGGGTTCAGAAAGCTCTTTGATTGTAGTTGAACTATAAATCCCAGCAACTACAACTCCCAAATGACAAAATCAATTTTTCTTTCTGGGAAGGACATATATTGGGTTGTTAGGAGTCTTGTGTCCAAATTTGGTGTCAATTTGTCCAGTGGTTTTTGAGTTCTCTTAATCCCACAAATGAACATTACATTTTTATTTATATAGATATATTAAGTATGTTTTGTTGGTCATGGGGGTTCTGTGTGGGAAGTTTGCCCCAATTCACTCATTGGTGGAGTTCAGAATGCTGAAATACAACACCGCCTGAGCTCTGCGAGTGCAGTATTTTTCCGAATGAAGCAGAGTGTTTGAGGACCGGGACATCCGTAGGGATACCAAGATGCTTGTTTATAAAGTTATTTTCCTCCCAACCCTGCTATACACCTGCGAAACGTGGACTGTCTACAGACATCACACGCAACTCCTGGAACTATTCCATCAGCATCGCCTCCAAAAAATCCTGCAAATCTCTTGGGAAGACAAGCGGACAAATGTCAGCGTGCTGGAAGAAGCAAAGACCACCAGTATTGAAGCGATGGTCCTCCACCATCAACTCCGCTGGACTGGCCACGTTGTCCAGATGCCCGACCACCGTCTCCCAAAGAAGTTGCTCTACTCCGAACTCAAGAACGGAAAACGGAATGTTGGACAACAGGAAAAGAGATTGAAAGATGGGCTCAAAGCCAACCTTAAAAACTCTGCCATAGACACTGAGAACTGGGAAGCCCTGGCCCTTGAGCGCTCCAGCTGGAGGTCAGCTGTGACCAGCAGTGCTGCAGAATTTGAAGAGGCACGAATGGAGGGTGAAAGAGAGAAACGTGTCAATAGGAAGGCGCGTCAAGCCAACCCCTATGGGATCGCCTTCCGAACTCGCTACAGGAGTGAATTTCCCTTCCAAAGGGTAGACTTCTTTAGAGAGACATTGCCAAGAGGAAGGCGTGTCAAGCCAACCCCGACCGGGACCGCCTTCCACCTGGAAACCGATACCCTCACTGTGGGAGAAGATGCAGGGCTCCACAGGGCTCCACAGTCACCTAAGGACCCACTGCCAGTACACCGACCTTGGGGGACAATCTTACTCGGACAACGAGGAATCGCCTAAATAAAGCATCATCACCATCATGTCATTTTTTCAATCTGCTGGTGGAGTTGTGTCAGCTCAGGTCCACCTTCTTTAAAAATTTCAGCAGGGATCCCATCAGGTCCGCTGGCTTTGTTATTTTTTTAATTGGCGGATGACTTTGCTGACTTACTCCAAACTTGCTACAGGAGTGAATTTCCCTTCCAAAGGGTAGACTTCCCAAGAGGAGGGCGTGTCAAGCCATCCCAACCAGGACCGCCTTCCACCTGGAAACCAATATCCTCACTGTGGGAGGAATAGGGCTCCACAGTCACCTACAGACTCACCTACAGACTCACCCTCATCCTACTCAGACAATGAGGGGTCACCTAAATAAAGCATCATCACCATCATGTCATTTTTTCAATCTGCTGGTGGAGTTGTGTCAGCTCAGGTCCACCTTCTTTAAAAATTTCAGCAGGGATCCCATCAGGTCCGCTGGCTTTGTTATTTCTTTTAATTGGCGGATGACTTTGCTGACTTACTCCAAACTTGCTACAGGAGTGAATTTCCCTTCCAAAGGGTAGACTTCCCAAGAGGAGGGCGTGTCAAGCCATCCCAACCAGGACCGCCTTCCACCTGGAAACCAATATCCTCACTGTGGGAGGAATAGGGCTCCACAGTCACCTACAGACTCACCTACAGACTCACCCTCATCCTACTCAGACAATGAGGGGTCACCTAAATAAAGCATCATCACCATCATGTCATTTTTTCAATCTGCTGGTGGAGTTGTGTCAGCTCAGGTCCACCTTCTTTAAAAATTTCAGCAGGGATCCCATCAGGTCCGCTGGCTTTGTTATTTCTTTTAATTGGCGGATGACTTTGTTGACTTACTCCAAACTTGCTATAAGAGTGAATTTCCCTTCCAAAGGGTAGACTTCCCAAGAGGAGGGCGCGTCAAGCCAACCCCGACCGGGACCGCCTTCCACCTGGAAAACGATACCCTCACTGTGGGAGGAGATGCAGATCAAGTATAGGGCTCCACAGTCACCTACGGACCCACCCTGGAGGATTATCCTACTCGGACAATGAGGGGTCACCTAAGTAAAGCATCATCACCATCATGTCATTTTTTCAATCTGCTGGTGGAGTTGTGTCAGCTCAGGTCCACCTTCTTTAAAAATTTCAGCAGGGATCCCATCAGGTCCGCTGGTTTTGTTATTTTTTTAATTGGCGGATGACTTTGCTGACTTACTCCAAACTCACTACAGGAGTGAATTTCTCTTCCAAAGGATAGACTTCTCAAGATAAGGGCGTGTCAAGCCAATCCCGACCGGGACCGCCTTCCACCTGGAAACTGATACCCCCACTGTGGGAGGAGATGCAGATCAAGAATAGGGCTCCACAGTCACCTACGGACCCACCCTGGAGGATTATCCTACTCGGAGAATGAGGGGTCACCTAAGTAAAGCATCATCACCATCATGTCATTTTTTCAATCTGCTGGTGGAGTTGTGTCAGCTCAGGTCCACCTTCTTTAAAAATTTCAGCAGGGATCCCATCAGGTCCGCTGGCTTTGTCAAGAATAGGGCTCCACAGCCACCTACGGACCCACCCTGGAGGATTATCCTACTCGGACAATGAGGGGTCACCTAAGTAAAGCATCATCACCATCATGTCATTTTTTTAATCTGCTGGTGGAGTTGTGTCAGCCCAGGTCCACCTTCTTTAAAAATTTCAGCAGGGATCCCATCAGGTCCGCTGGCTTTGTCAAGAATAGGGTTCCACAGCCACCTACGGACCCACCCTGGAGGATTATCCTACTCGGACAATGAGGGGTCACCTAAGTAAAGCATCATCACCATCATGTCATTTTTTTAATCTGCTGGTGGAGTTGTGTCAGCCCAGGTCCACCTTCTTTAAAAATTTCAGCAGGGATCCCATCAGGTCCGCTGGCTTTGTCAAGAATAGGGTTCCACAGTCACCTACGGACCCACCCTGGAGGATTATCCTACTCAGACAATGAGGTAAGTAAAAGTATGTCTCAACAGTCCAAAAAGCAAAGCAGCAAATACAGAGTCGCATCCAAGCCCATCCCAAATTTTTCCTCCCGCAGCTCCTGAGCATTTCTGTGCAGGGCTGGGAGGAATAGGTTGCATTTTTTCCCTCACCTCTTGCAGGATCAGGACCTCGGTGTCACTCACAGTGCTAATGCAATGCAAATTTCATTCCCGTCAAATTGCCTTTTTGGAATGATTACCCTTGTAACTGACTGTCAGAGAAGCAATTTATTTCTCTCCCCCCCCCCCCTCCACTCCCCGCACTCCCCAGCGCCTGCTGCTCTAGGAGGAGGCTGCATTTGCATCTTGTTACTGCATAAGAGCTTGATTATTTATAGCATGGGAGGGGGAAATGTACTAGAAGCGAACGGGGAAGGGATGGGAGCGGAAAGGCAAAGTGGAAGGGAAGAGAGATCCCCGC